CCCCAGCCCCAGCCCCAGCCCCAGCCCCAGCCCCAGCCCCAGCCCCAGCCCCAGCCCCAGCCCCAGCACCAGCACCAGCACCAGCACCAGCACCAGCACCAGCACCACCACCACCGCTGGTTCGTGCCATTCCGCATCGGTGCCATTGCACTTGGTGCCATGCTTTTGACACGTGTGCGTCTCGTGTAGCCCTTACTTTTTGGTTCATCCATCTTTTTTGGAGAATCTGATCGCCTGAGCACGCAAGAAGGTAGGAGGCAACCTGCATGGCCTGAGCTGAGGTGAACCAGACAGAGTACTTGTGCGCCTGCAGTTTACCTCAAGATCGACTTGTGCAAGTCATGTCGATGCTGCAGACAACTACGATGGAGGAGTATGTCTCTAGATGCAAGTACCTTCGCACTTTCATGTGCGCCAACTATGACTGCCCAACCGGCCACTACCAGCTGGACATGCCGGACACTGAGGTTCAATTATTCCTGCAATCTGTCCAGCCTCGAGTCTCGTTTCCACACTCAGACCTGACAGTTTACAAGCTAGGCTGTCAGCGGCGGACCGGGCAGTCGGGCAGCACTTGTTCGTTCTCAACGCGTGGGAGAGTGCCCTCGACAGACGCATGCAGCGGATGGACCTCTCAGCACTTCGCCCAGTTATCCTTCGGTTTCTGCCTTTTGTGCCATTTTTGCTTCTGTGTAGCACACACATCAGGAACTTGGAGACGGATCGCACTGGCGAAACATTACTCATGAGGGTGGTCCGTGGAGAATGGATTGGACAAGGCGGCATGATGTGGAGCCGTCTGAGCCTGCAGCATGTTGTAGCGTGGCTTCCTCGCTTGACAGCGCAGGTGGTCGCCGCCTCCTGAAGGCATGCTTGACTTCGACTACGTGTCTGGACGCAGACCAGACCCCAAGCAAGCTCCAATCGACCTTCCCAACTTCGCTCGCATGCTGAAGCAGCCTGGCTTTTAGAGGGTGTTCTGCAACAGCGCTTCATGTGCGGGGATGGGGAATCTGAAAAATACAGCCTCGAGAAGCTATGCTTGAGGCGTGCTCCCTGAAACAGCCTCGCCAGATGAATTTAAGTTTATCGCATGCCTTTCAGGTTGTTGGCGAGCTTCGATGAGGTGCGACATTGCGCTCCTTCTGTGGTTCCCTCAACCCTAAACCCTAAACTGCCCTAGTTGTGAGTGCTGAAACTGCCCTAAACCCTGGTTCAGGCTTTAGGGTTTTGGCGCTCAAAACGAGAGTGTGAGCGTCAAAACCCTAAACCCAAAACCTTGGTTGAGGGTTGAGCCTCTCCCAATGCGAGCCGGCCTCAGTGCGCAAGTCCGACACTGGCTGGACTTAGATTTGTGAAGGAGTCTACAGTATTTTGGACAAGCCTAAACCCTACAGTCAACTACTTTAATTATTCGATACAACATATCATAACATCACAAACTCGAACATAATGCAATATCATAGCACATGTTCTGAACCCCGATGACAAGATGGCGAGGCGCCTCTGGCAAAGTTCCTGGCCTTGAGACGATGTGGACACCGACTCTTCCTGACCAGCTCCCAGCTGCGTGAGCTTCTGTGCAGCCCTGCTGAATATGTGGGAGTTTCCGAAAATAGGGACCCTAATATAGTACCCTAAATAGTAGAATCCTTATTGTAAGGACCCCCAAATAGGATACCCTAATTTTCGGAAACTCCCATTTTGTCTGGATGTTTACATCGAAGCCTGCAAATGCACTGGGTGGTATACAGGCTTGTGCAAGACAGTTGACGCCAAGCTGCAGCTTACGATCTTGCTTTACTTCCAGGCACCTTTGAAGTGCAAGCATGTCGGGCCATGACCAGGTTTTGATTCATGACGGCCAGGTGGTGGATATTTGGAACGCGAAAGTTTTTCGCGTGCTCTTCGAGCCAGCGGCAAGCAGGCAGCTGCAGCAGTGCTTGGGACATGTGGCCTCTCGAGCTGCAGTCGATATGGAGTCGTCGAAGCTCCGTAACACGCCCTTGCGCTGTGTTTTATTTCAAGATCAGGTGACGTTCCTTTTCCTTCAGCCAGAAGGCTTCGTGGACCTCTGCTTGGATCAGCGAGAGCAGCGCCTGCTGGCTCACTGCCTCGCCCTTCTCCGAAGTCCCTCGGTATCACTTGGTATAGACAAGTTCCTACTCAAAGGGGGGGGGGTTCGCTGTCCTTTGAAGACCCATGTGGTGTGGTGAGGCAAGGAGAAGTCCACCATGAAGGACGCGGTGCTTTGCGACAAGACCGGCAGGACCGCACGTCCGTAGAGCTGCAGTGAAGCAGACGCCGGGTCAGTGCCGCCTTGCCTGGCAATTCGCGACTGCGAGGCTCATCACTTTGTCAAAGGGGCTGCCGAAATCCTGGGAGAACCCGGAGAAGGTGCCGAGTCGGGGCACAATCAGCGCGACGTGTCCCCGGCTCCTTGAAGACCCGTGTGAATGCAAAGTGTCACTGCTTCTGCCAAGTCTTCGCAAGAAGGTACCGCTGCATCCCCGAAGAGCGGAATGTCTCGTTCAGGAGGCAGCTGCAAACGCCGCTCGACCCTGAAAGCAGAAGGGAAGAGTTCCGCGTCAGTTCGGAAGTGTGGCTTCGATTGACCGAGTGCCCATCGAAAGGCAATTTGGTGGCTGGAAGCTTGCGACCATCTCCAAGCAGTCTGTGTCACTGTTCTGAACATGCTTGGCATCTTTCTTCTTACTCGTCTTGATTCGCTCCAAATCTGTCTCATCCCGCAAGAACCATCAGCTACTATCAGAAATGACAAGAGTCACGGTCTCAATGGGTCTTCCTGGGTTGTTATGCTTGTTGTCACCCAAATTAAAGCACCGATGCAAGTCGCACGTATCGCTATGCTATTGCCATTGCCGGTCGGAGCATGGAATTGACCTGTGTTGTCTTGTTCGTCGCGACGTATGCATGGCGTGGCATCACGTGTGTACGTAACCCAGCCGAGATACGCTTTGGATATCGTTGCGACAACTGACTTGCATGATTTTGGATACTTGTTGCCTGACCTTTTTCATCCAGTTTGAGCTTCACGGCAGGATGTGGTGCGCCAGCAAGGCAGAGGTGCCTGAAGATGTCCTCAGCTTGCTACACCATGCCCTACGGGATCCGTCCAGAAGCAGTTCGAACACCTACAGCACCGATGCAGGCTTTGATCTGTTGGCAAGCCAGGTCAACAAAACAGCACTCACACGACAGCACCTTCTCCAAGCTCTTTTCTCTTGGGGTTTCCTCCCAAGCATAGATGACGAGCTGGTCTTGCATCGTGCAGATGCGATTTTTGACTTCTTTGTTCCTGGCCGACAGAAGTTCCTGTCCCGACGAGAATGGAGTATTCTTGAAGAGCTGTGGCGCGAGACCCAACAGCAACTCCACGATCTGGCGCGCTTCGCAGCACGCAAGTTTAATTCCAAGCTGACCGACTCGCGGCTGCAGAAAGGAGGCTAATGTAGCGGCCTTTATAATTACCTACACTATTTTGGGGGGTTCCTCATTAAAGTATAGTATAATATACCCCACAACCCATTCCGACTAGTAAGGCCCCTATATTACAGGCTTTCCAAGGGCCTCAAATTCGGGGCTGGATGAGCGGTGTCCAATCACAGGAGAAGCTTTGGTCTGCTGTTGCCAGCGGAGAAGGAAGCCTCAGTCTGGCAGAATGGTCGCGGGCCATCAAGGACGGCTAAGCGGCCCTATCCCCCGGAAAGCAGGTCCTGGAGATTAGTTTAGGGTTTAGGGTCTATCTATACATATATAAATATATATATAATCATACATACATATCATGTAATACAGAGATAGATAGACATATATATATATATATGAAATATACGTATCTCCTGGAAAGGAGAAGCTCAGTTTCCACGGTCCGGTCGACCAGGTCTTTGCCTTCATGGACAAGGCGGGGCCATGGGACATTCAGGGGCCGCCCTCGAACGGAGTCGAACATGGGCCTTCATGCCTTTCTAATTACCTACACTATTTTGGGGCTTCCTTATTATAGTTATCAGTTATAGTATATTATACCCCAAAAGGGCTTTTTTTCCCAGCCACTGCTCGCATCGGCGCGTCGGGTCTCGCCCGCCATGTTGTGGCCAGACAGCCCTCCGGACCTGTCTTGCATGCGTCGGATTCCACAGCACGCGTGTTGCCGACTTTTCTGGTTGCTTTAAGAATGGGAGTTTCAGAAAATTAGGGGTACCTTATTTTTGGGTCCTTATATTAAGGATCCTATTATTTAGGGTGCTATATTAGGGTCCCCTATTTTCGGAAACCCCCGAATGGAAGCTGCCTAAAAGCAGCTCTCAGGTCCCGATTCGATGTGCCACGATCCGCAAAGCAAGACAAGTCGGCTCAGCATGCGCTCACAATAATTATTCTACTTGTAATGCTAATCTAGTTATCAGTGTTGCTAAAAACGGTTTTTGGAAAAATACTTTTTATGGATCTGGTTCAGGCTGGCATTGGCACAGTGTCCATGGCACAGCTGGATGCCGTGATGCCAGCACTTGGGGACTACTTGGCCGATTGTGAGGGGCAACGTGCCCTGACTGCCCATCAGCTTCGGAGTAGAGAAGATATGCTCAGCGTTTTGCATTTGCGCACCGAGCCTGCAGCTTGGGCAGCATAGCTCGGTAGATGCCCTGTGTTCCAATTGGCCTCGCGTACACAAGGCTGTAATTTTCTAGGCTGGCATCATCATTCAGACCATCACAGCTACTGTTGGCTGAGGTGTGTCGCAAGCATTTCTCAAGAGAGCGGGATCATGTCAGTCGCCACCACCACGATAGCGAGGCTTGCCATGCACATGGATTTGGGCCAAAGTTCCGAATCAAAGTGGGTCACAAGCCGTGTGAAGTCAGCCCCTGTAAGACGACAGATGCTGCCCTGGTACATGGCATCCAGCATGCAAGCTCCGACAGACATAGTTTCGGATTGGGTGTGAACGACAGAAGTAATCGTGCAGTTGAAGCTTAGATGAGCTGTAGTGGGCGTCGAGTTCGGTGTTGAGCTCTGAATTGAATCGTCTCTCATACCTGGCGAGGTGGAGCCGGTACTGTGAGACATTGACCAATGCCTTCCAGTGAAGGGGACTTTACTAGGGTATGGTGTACAGTGTAGTGAACTGTTGTATAGTATAGCAGAGTATAGTCTAGTATAGTATAGCGTACCATGAGGCACCCAATGGAGAGATGTGGACAACTGCCCTTCCCCAGTCTTGGACTGCTCGCGGACATCGAAGCCATCAGCTCGGGCTAGACAACAACGCATTTTACATAGGACTCTGGCGGCTGCGAATGCAGCCCTGCCGAAGCTGATAATGCACCCGTGCAGATCTGCACAATAGCGATGAACCGCACCTGTTGAACACCGTGCTATTGCAACATGCTATGAGCACTGGTGTCGGGCCATGTGCCTGCAAAGTCAATCTCAGGAGGCATTTGCAACAATCAAGACCAAAATACATAGCTGCTTTGCAAGCACTGGCAGGATTGGCATGGGCACTCGTCCACATGTTTGCTTGTTTTGCACCTGCACCGTGGCATGCGGCATCCGCCATGTTCTCAAAGTCTGCTGCGCCCTTTAGTCCTCTTCGCAGCACGCCTGGTCACAGACAAGGCTCACGCAACCATAGGGGTCGGACAAATTATACAGTATTTCCTTCTAGCTGATTGCAGGTCCTAGCATAAGTATGGTAATTTATAGTATAATATACCCCAAAGCTCTATCCTCACTATTAACCATTATCAGGGCCCTGTACTACCTTGTTCCGTGTCCGAAACAAGGAATCTCCAAACGTCCACGCCCCGAGGCCTCGAGGAAATCAGCATGGCCGGCCACATAACTCCTTTAGATGCAAGGCATTTCAATCTATGCGGTGTCAAGCAGTGGCCCTATATGTTCTGAAGCGCCGAGGCCAGGCAAAGACGCCAGATTTTGCTGCCCACCATTCTAGCATGGACCTCGGGCGCACACACCTTGCAGATGCTGTCACCTGCCAACTTTGAGCAGGTGCTGGCTCTCACCTACTTCTCGCCAGCTTTTGTTCCAGCGCCCCAAGGCACCATACTTGCATCATCTACATTGAAAGCTGATGCATGCTGCGTCCATGCGGTGCTTCAGGAAAGAAGGCGCCGGAACAGGCCCTACGACTTGGAGGGATTAGTCGAAGCTTTTCGTTTGGACTCGGCGTGCACTCGCGGCAGGTGTCGCACCTTTCTGGCGCTGCGGGTGCAGGTGCACTGTTTGCCCGAGTCCTTGAAGCTATGATGGCAAGCAGTCACGCCATGCCGCTTTCTTTGCTCTCTGAGGCCTTGACGGCACCAGCCAATGCCGTGGATGATCCACTGGCCCACGGGGCTCCTGGAGCCACCGCCTTGGAAAAGCCATGGGGGCCTGTGGGTGCCTTTGACATGGCGAGAAGCATATGGAGGTTTCCGAAAATAGGGGACCCTAATATAGTACCCCCAAATATAGTAGGATCCTTATTACTGTAACCCTAATATAGTACCCCCAAATATAGTAGGATCCTTATTACTGTATAAGAATCCCAAAACAAGGGACCCCAATTTTATCGGAAACTCCCAAAGGGTTTCTATGTCAGACTCTGGTCATCCTGTTCAGGCTTGGAGCTTCTTGCGGTTTGGGTCGCGTCGAAAGCCAGGGTTCCACTTCTCCTTACGGTAGCTGCGGGGGTTGGCTCTGAATGAACTGGTGCTAGCATCCGCCTTTTAGACCTTCCATATAAAGGCACTGCAGTTTTTTTTGTAACTTCGGATGTGCACCCCGTGAGGTGATGGACGCTGGAGATTTGCAGGGCTGGGCTGAGAGAGCAGCTTTCGGCGGCCTGCTGGCTGCCGCCTAAGCTGGGGCTAAGAGCACCTTAGGTGGCCATGCCATGCCATGCCATGCCATGCCATGCCATCCCAGAGAGAGCTCCTTGTGCCAGGTGAGCACGTTTTTGGCTTGGTGGCGGGGCACGCTGGGCAGCGGACAGGCAGCGTCGAAAATTGCACAGAGCACTTGTGAAGCCTTCCTGGAAGCCCGCTTGAATAGTCAAAGCCGAGTGAAATGCTGCGGTCGTTGCAGGCTTCTACGGAGGGCAAGCCTCCTTCGTTTTATGATCGGGCCTCGGTCTTCGGCTCTTCAGTCCGGAGCTTTTGCTTTGCAGACCTCTGCAGGCCATGTCATTCGCGAACCTTGCCCTGGTAGCTGGAGACTGAGAGCTTCAGCTGGAGGGACTCCAAGCTACTTCATCGCATGGCAGAGACCAGTAAAACCATTGAGTGGTCTTTGTGACTAGGTGCTGCTGTCCAACCGTTGGCTGGAGAGCGGCCACGGCCCAAAAGCTTCACTAAGGCCTGAGCACATGTTTTTCTTGTGGAATGTACACTCCTCAGGCCACTTCCCCCTGTCGAACATGTATGAGTCGCTCAGCTTTTTGGCGCCACCTCCTCAGGGAACCTTCCAAGTAAATAACATGGGTAAAGCGTTTTCCATGATGTCAGCTTCGGACTACTTCAGCCGGTGCAGCAAGGTGGGGTGTTACTGCAGTGACACTGTATTTTACCGTCAGCGGCCAAGTCTTTGCACGGTGTGCGTTGCAACGAGAGCTTGGCTTCACTGGCTCGAAGCGGTATCACTGGACCACCAGTCGAGCTACTGAGGCTAGCCAGGCAAGTGAGGCTGAGGAGCTGAAAGCTTTCGACATGCAAACCAACTCCAAGTCATCGGAGGCCACACCCAAGATGCTTGGCTGTTTTGTGCCTGGTTCGATGCATGTCTGCAGGCGAAACAGAACACCACCGACATTGCCGTGGCTTGGCTGAGTTCCCTGAAGCGTGCGAAGCTTGAGTGCTTCGAAGGAGACCTCTCCCCAGTGCCCAGCAGGGGGACTCAAGAAAAGGTAAATGAAGGAGGGCCTTCAGTGGGAGGAGTCATAGCAAGCAACGGAGCTTCGTAGTGTCATCAAGAAGGCAGCCTGCAGAGAGCATGAGCTGTCGGGAAAATCAACAGGGAACTGGGCAGACTTGAGGTTCCAGTTAACCATGCAACGACAGTGTCGTTCGATGCATGTGTGCTGGTTTCACTTTGCAGACCTCGAACCGTATGCCTCGCCTGGATTGTCCGAGCGTGAGAGCCGAAACCCTCTCGAGGCTGTTTGGGCATCACCTGTGGCTCTGGGCATCGTCGCCTTTGCCCAGTTTTCTTTGCCGAAGGCAAGGTTGCAGCGCTTCCGTTTCAGCCTGTTTTCCAAGGTAAGACCACATACATTATATGTGTGTATATATATATAACTATATATATATATGTACACATATGTATGTATGTATATATATATATACACATTACATATTATATAGCTACAATGCCAATTGGCGGCAGGCATTGCAGAAAGCCTCCGCGCTGGTACCTGCCCTGCAGCCCCACACTGAGTCCGACACGTGGAATCGCCGGCGATTTCATGTTCGAGCGCTTGCGATTCAGATGTTTGCGCTTGCTGTCGATTGGCACCCGGAGCAGCAGGTCGAACTGGCTCGTGATGCATGTTTCAGCCAGCAACCCGAGTGTCCTGTTCCTCTTGTCCTGCACTTCGAAGACATTGAATATGGCTCTCCACTCTAGCAGTTGGGTACTTCAATATGTCTCTGTGCGAGGTTGTGATGTGCTCCTATGCCACGCTGATGTTTGGGTCGGTGCTTTGCCAGGGCCCTGTGCTTGTCATCTCGTCAAAAGTGGAAAGTAACTCCTTGCACAGCTGCTCTTGCTACTTGCTAAACTCTGTGGCAAATTCAGCGGCTTCGCTCTCTTATTGCACAGATTGAATCCAATCGCCTGCACTTTAGGCATGGCCGTGTTGGCATTGAGCCAACCCAAAGACAGCCCGATCACGGCTCTCCGCGAGGCGCCTGAATGGCAAGAAGGGGGCAAAAGAACGGCGGCCGTCCATGGGTCCTCATGTAAATGCAGGCTTCTTGAAATTCGTGGCCCTTTACTAGGGTTAGGGTCTGTATAAAGGGGTCTTATTTTCCACTCCAACGAGCTTACTCATACGGGCCCTAGCAGATCAAGTCTGCGTCGCACCACACTTCCTTCGATGGAAGGCTGCGCAGCCGGCGCTGCAGGGCATCGCCAACGGCTTGCAGTGCGCCAGCTAGTATGATGTGTTGGTGGCTGCGGATGCCTTCATTTCGTAGCTGGAGTAACGACGCTGACAGGCCACAGCCAGCTGTTGCCACTGCTGGACAGGTTGGGAGTTGCTCTCTTATATATTAGTTCTATATTATATATTTTATATTATACATTAGTATTATACTGTATTATATTATACTAGTGACTGTAGTGGGCTGCAAAAGGCTTGAGCGACTCAAACGAGAGGCGACCTGCTCCTAAGAGGCCCAGCACGCTCGGTTTTTAAAGATGCTTTTTGGCTCCACCGCGAGAGACCACATCCTGGCAAATCGTCGTTTGTCGTGCTATCGGATTATCGGCTTATGATTCTGGAGCCTCGCGTTCAACCGTGCCCCTTCTTGCCGCCGTGCATTGAAGCTCTGACTTGCCAGTCCCCGGCGGTTGCCATGACTGGCACAACCGGCCTTGATGCTGGCAACACAGCCAGCCAGGTTGAACGCCAGGACAGGACGCAGGCTCGATTGAAGTTATTAAAACGTCGTTGAACGCTTCCAACTTGTGACAGGTAGCAGTTGCAAGCACCAGTGCCGCTGCGGGTGCCGGCAGCGCAGTTGCCTCGTTAGCTGCTCCCAGCGGCAGCCGGTGCATGGCGCAGGGATGCGCAGGGGGCGTACGTTGGCAGAGTAACTCAGGTCACAGTTGAGTTCACGTCCTCTTCGGGCACGGCCGTCCTTTCGGAGGAGCCGTCGGCCGCAGAGACCGTGATTGTGCGAGGGGCGAGAGGCTGCACGAGTCTCGCGAAAGGACGACCAACTCGCCATTACCTTGGATGATCTGGCTTACCGATCGCTTTTGCTGGGCTTCGGCTTCCTGCTGCAGTCTGAGATTTCAGCCACCAACAACAAGGTACCAAAGTTTGTTGCATTGATGCTCCCTTCCGAGGACGGTCGGAATTGTTTCCGGTGCCGTTTGGGCGAACGAAGCTTGGGGCAACTACTGGAGCTGGGATCCGAAGGAGCGAGATGCCGCAGACGACGATAGACAACGACGATAGACAATGTCAACTGTTAAACCAGTCTATTCACTCAGTCTGCGTTAGACATCATGTTGGAATGTTGGATCCGACAGTTTAAGAAAGGACTACGGTGCCTGCATCGGCTTCATTCCTTTCGTCTTCGGTGACATGTTGACGGGAAGAGGTTGCTGCGTACAGGTCCATGCATTTTTTGACAATGTCCTGCAGTCAAACGAGGTCTCAGAAAATGAGGGGTCCCTTCTTCAGGGGTCCTCATAACAACTGTCCTACTATCACCTATCACCCTAAACCCGAAACCCTAAACCCCTAAACAAACAAAAAACCTACACCCCTAAACCCCTAAGCTTGCAAGTTTTTCTAGGATCCTGGAGTCCCTTGGCCCTTGATCCCTTAAAGACCTCATAGGAGACCTGGGCTCTCATCACCTGGTTGGTTTATGCCGGCTACCTTCACACCAGGCCAGGGGTGGGGAGGGGGGGCCTTGTCTGGGCTTCAGGGCACCGGGGGGCATTCTATCCCAATTTCCCGGGGAGCGCCGAACGTGTGCGGCGGCTTTGTTGCAAGACATGCTCATCTCAACCGAAACGACATTGCAGAGTTGCGACAAGCGGCAGGGCAAGCGCGCTTAATCGTTACGCTCATTCCCCAAAGGTAAAGTAGAGGGAATCCCCGCCCTAATGACTAATACATGCTCCTCAGAAACTGAGAAGAGTGCAGGGTTGGTCAACTGTCGACGGTACATGCACAGAATGTTCAACAGTCAAGAACAAGTGCTTGCCATCGGATATGATTGTATTTTGAGCGTGCTCGCTTTGGGGTGCATGGGGATTGCTACGAATCTCATCGCAAAGCAAACGGGCAGGTTGCAGCTTGGTTGGGACACTCGCGAAAGTGCCAAGATCGGTGCCTTCGGTTTCCTTGCAGGGGGCTTAAACTTAAGCAGATTACTTCTGAACAGCCAAGGCCACAAAAGCATGCTGTGCTTCAACGGAAGAATGCAAGCTAAGGTAGTCTGGGTGTGCTACATTGGCGTGAGTGCCTGAGTCATGCTCGAGACATGCGGCATTGCGGTTGCAAATTCTGGGCTATGCTTGTGATGATGCTGGTGTGTCACATCTAACTATGACAGAACATGTGAATCAGCTCAACTCTCTTGAGTCGAAGTGCGAAGGTCAACTTGATGGGCATTGGCTTGCACTCGTACGGCTTCTTCCTCAAGTGAGGACGTTCGTTTGGCATGTCACCGAACCTAGGGTGCCGGATTTTGTCGTGCTTTCCAGTGAGCCTGCGCGACCATGTAAGACGGAGCGTCAAAAGATGACTGCAAAATCGAGAAAGCCAGGCATGAGACATGCAAAGTCACACCCGCCCGCCTCTGTCCACGTTCACCGGGCACGGGCGGTCTCCAAGAAGTGAAGGCTTTCCAGAAGTTGAGGCATGACATAGCTGTGACAGTGAGAGGAGGTTTGATACCACGACCACCACTAGTGACTACACTAGTGTCACGAGTGTCGAGACTACCACTCGTAATGATTCTTCTTGCTTTCGTCGACGGTCTTTGGCGCTAGAAACACAGCGTAGTGTCTGCCGAGCTCGCGCACGGTTAAACTGTTTGGGGCCTCGGCTGGTCCTCCTGTCGGTAGAAGTGAACTTGGTCGCTTTGTTCTCATGTTGCGGCTGGAATCTCTAGGATTGGCTTGTCGGAGATAGCTTCCTCGTGTGAATTCGTCAAATTGAGAATCCCGCGGCACGAATGTCCACAGCAGCCCCTGTGATATTTAGAACGGCCGAGGCCTTATCACCAGCTGAATAGGTCTGCGGAAGAGTCCCTAATCAAGCAAAAGGCTTCTGTGGGCGAAGAGACACAGTGTGAGCTCTGGTTATAAGGAAGTTTTCGCCTTCATCTCCATTGAACTCGGATTCCGGCCGGGCCCCACAAAAATTCCGGCTCACTAACGGCGGGGCGAGCAGTCAATAAGAAGTGCGGCATTGAAGGTCTCCCACACCTGGGCTCTTCCTCCGAAACGAAGGGTGGCTGAACATGGAAGTGATGGACTTCCTTGCTTTCTCTTGGGGGCTGGGGTGGCCTCTGTGGTCCCAAACCTGCGAAGCCCAAGCTCCTGACGAGACACACCCTTCCGACAGCCACACTTGAGAGTTCAGTGCCTGCTGACTTTGTTAACGACAATGATACTTGGAAACTCCTGAATGTCGCTCTCTTATCCCATGATTTCTTGGGGTATTGTACCGCCTCGACTTCTTAGTCCTTGCTTTGGTCGAGGCTACTGCTGCGCCTGACATGCCCTACTGCCGTTCGTGCTGCCGAATGGAGATAACTCAATTGATGGCATGTTGTCATCTCCTTGGTGCAGGAGCTGACCCGGATCCATTTGTTGGCCGGTATGCAAAGTCCAAGGGCGGCCCACCTGTGCCACGAAGTGATTTGTGAGATGTGTCAACAGTGCCAGGCTGTCCATTCGGGCACACTGAGATTTTTACGCATCCCAACGTCCGTAGCGTGTGGGCTGGACGTTGCGTGGCTCACGCATGCTCCTCAAAGAGACACCCGCGCAGGGTGTTGGCCAAGGGACGACGAATTGTTGGTTGAAGTAAGGTGTGGTCAAGACCGTGTAATGGTGGTCGAGTGAAGTCTTGCTTGAACCTGACCTTCTCGGATGATGTCAGGCTGTGACACTCTGTAATGTTGTTGTCCATTCACGCACCTTCAGAAGATACTCGCATTGTGACATAGGGAATAGAACGGCACGATTGATCACAAGATCTCGTTGTTTTTGATTCGTACTCAGGCAGGAAATCTGAACAGACTGCGAGTTTCGGCTGTGGCTGGCTTGGATGGTGCTCCTTTAGATCGAACTGCGTGGCCTCTCCTTTGCCCGTGAAAGTCTTTCACTTCTCTGCTGCTGTACATGAACCATTCGTCATGTTTAGATAGGTGACAGATTGCAACGCGAGGGCACGAGTGGAATACCGCTCCATTTAATTGCCGGAAGAAGAAGCTCGCGGCGAACGAATATTGATCGCCACGGGCTGTTTTTCACAAGACCCGTTAATTCTGTCTCTCTTTGGCCAAGGGGCAAAATCTTTCGCCGCGCGACAACAAAAGAAGACCGCCCCACGCGGGGGAGTGAATGGAGTACCAACCATTAAGGGATAAGTGTTTGAGAAAAAAGATCTTCTATAAAATTCAATTTCTAATCATATCATTTAATTCATATAAATAATGATTTTCTTGATACTCTTTCAAAATATATATATGTTATTTCTATCCAACAATATAGTACAAAGTTCTATTTCTTGTAATTCAGCATGCATGATAATTAATATGCTGAATCAGAATAGTGGGATCTGGAGCGCCCCTGCCAGGGCATTGACGTGTGCCGCTGCAGGAAGAACGGTTTGGAAATCGGCGGGAATTGGGTCTGTTCTTAATCTTTCCGCCTCTCTTATTTTTCGAAGGTGGGGGGGTTCGTGGTTTAGAGTTTTTCTCAATAAAAATAAAAAATAGATATCGTTTGATATTATTGTATAATCTTTAGTAATTTAATCTTGGTCAAATATATATTATTATAAATAGAATTTGGGATTATAGAAATAATATTAGATATATATTTAATATAAGAGATATTAAAAATCTAATCTAAAATTCTAAATATGAAATATTCAGATTATTAAAAATAGAAAAATCTAGTATTTTATTGCTTTTTTTTCAAATAGGTTATCTCAAAATATTAAGTCGAATTTTTTTGATGCCATAATACGAAAACAAATTTGGAAGTTCCCATATTTATAAAACCATTTATATATTATATTTCGTACTATATCTCGTTGATTAAGTTATTTCTATTATATTGAAGGAATTCTACATTATTTTGAATTTTCTAAGTGATTTGTTGACGTGGTAAATGGTGGTGTTGGGCCGTGCGCTTTTCGAAAGCGCTCCTAACAATGAATATAAGCGGTTCCACGAAAAAATGTCGTCGGAAATGATCCCGGAATTGGTATGTCTCATCCAATCTTGATCAGGGAGATTTTTTTTTTTACTAATTTGATAATAGAACTAAAGAAGAATCGAAATTGAAAGATAGCTTTATATAAATATCTTTATCTTAGAATAATAATATTTTTTCTTATTCTTTCTTATTAGTAGAAGCTATAAATCTTTATGATAATATATTTTTAGTATTAGAAAGATTTTATTACGGATTTTGATTGGATTGAAATGGATTATTAAAGATTTTAATATTAGAAAGCTTCATTATGGGACTTGATTGAATCATATTTGATTGTAATTTTATTCTAGTTTTGGAAATATTTTATTTAGGGTCTTGGTTGGATGAGATTCGATTATAATTTAAATTTAATTTTAGAATTTTTTTATTATGGATCTTGATTATTTTATATTTGATTTTATTCAAGTTTAGTATTGGAAAGGCTTCGTTATATATATTTTTGATATTAGAAATTCTTCGTTATATTTATTTATAATTTAGTAATGTGTCTAGCATGGTCGGATAATAATTAAATAAAAAATAAAGGGGGATTCGGCCTCTCGCCCTCTCCTATCTCATATATTCTTTTTAATATATCTTCTTTTTCTTATTTCTATGATCTTATAAGATTTAGATTTTCTATATTTCTGGCCGTACGGGACCCCAAACCTTCAATTTTAATATTAGAAAAGGCTTCGTTATAAGTCTTGCCTAGATTGTATAGAATAATTGTATTAATAGAAATATCTTATTATCAGTCTAGATTAGATTATATTAGATCAAAGTATAATTTAAAACTAGAAATAATTTATTTAATTTTTTGGCTAGCTTATACTATTATAGATTTTTAATATTCCAAATTCCCTCATTATAGATCCTAGATAAATTATATTTATACTTCAATTTTAATTTGAGAAATATATTATTTGGGTCTTAGCCATATTATGTCGGATAATATAAAGTTATTCATTATAAATCCTACTTAGATTATATTTAATTATAATTTAATTTTAGTATTAGAAAAGCCTCGTTTAAAATCCTAATTAAATTATATATATTTATAAATCAATTTTAGTATTAGAAATGCCTCATTTGAATTCTAATCAGATTATATTTATTTGAATTAATACGAATCTGAGTTCGATTATATTTATTTAGGTTCGATTTATTAATATTAAGAAAATATAGATATTTAGAAATATACATTTTTTCTGGATTCAGAATAAATATAAATAATTATAATTTGAATCAGAAATATTAATTTCTATTGTTTATTCAAAGATTTCTTATAGAAATTCAAATTTTTTCAAAGTGTTATAAATATTGATTTAGTTTGGTTCAATATTAAGATTATCAATTAATAGGAATAAATTTGTAATGGGAATATATCGTGGGAAAATTGAAATCATAGGGATTGATTCTGATATTATGAAAAATTAGGGGTATATTATTATATTCTCATGATAATTCATGATCGATAGTCAGAGCTAGTCTTGGGTATAAATTCTGTGTGATAACGGGTACGGACCGCAATAGCCGGTACGAGAATTCTTTCAAGCATGATTCATAGATTGTTGCTCTTGGGGGTGCTTTGGGGAGAAAATGGAAGTAGTTAAAGCTGACAAGTGCAGCGTACCTTTATCTCAGGTTGGTCTTCGCGTCTCGAAACGTGCTGCGTAAGTGCAGGCCTGCGACGATGAAGAACGTTAAGCAACCTCAGTCAATCGATGATGCTGCTGTGCACTGATGTGCAGACATATCGTGCCAAGACACCCAAGCCAGCAACTGCAAACTTTGGTTCCTGCTGGACTGCTTGCGACTGACCGCAAGATTTCATTGCGAGACACTTAGGGGGGGCCTGCTGAAATTTGAAAATCCAGCCGCCCAGCGTTTGAAGAAGTGCAGGGAGGCGTGATGAGACCTCTGCCAGCAGGACACTCTGGATTTACGTCGTCCTGATGGAAAGTGATGCTAAACTCAAGCGAGGCGCAGAAAGAGGTGGGACAACCACTTCCATCTCCACCTCCACCTGAATGGTCTGTTGACTGTGGCAAGCAGGAGGAATCTCACCTGCTGACCATCTGCGAGGCCTCCACATCCTTTCCATCTGCTGACAGACGAACAGGATAAACCTCGAAAGGCTACGCACGGCTCTTGCGTTGTCTAGGGAGTCGGAGCACATGCTCGCCTTCTGGCTCATGGGATCACCCTCGACATTTGCCCCGGTGCGGAGGTTGAAACACCTGGCTGACACACTGACCCTCACGCACACACACACACACACACACACACCTCCGCGACGTCAACACCACCAAAGACAGTGCAGTTGATAATGCTTCGTATACGTGGCCTACAGTCCCTGCCGAGATCTGCCTTCTGTCCAAGAACTCGAACTTCAAAACCCTGTACGCTAGCTCGAACAGGTAAACGAAACTACTGACCGAGTCACGCGCATATCCTGCCGTGAGTTACGTCTGTCTTCCTATGCATGCATGGCAGGTCTTGGCTGCACAGAACATGGCAGAAAGCAACTCCTCGTCTGAGCAACAGTGCCGGCGGCGCATATAGTGTCTAGGACAAATGACCATGCCATCTGTAGCTTTGGAGTCGCTGGCACCTGCCGGCGAAGGACTTTCAAGCCGTCAATTGCAAGTGACAAGTTGCCGGTCTGCCTAGGCCAGTGGTGCCGATGTCTTCAATTTCACCTTCGCATAACGAACCACCCATGTGGGCACAGCGGTTGTCCTTGGATATGAGGCAACTTGTGGTGAGTAACAACGAAATCCGATACACAGTGGGCTTGCAGCCTTCCCAGCAACACACACTGACGCATGCAAGGCACCAAAGCGAAGAGCTCACCTCTGTGTCGGAAGACGGCCACCTGCTCATTCCTTGCAGCTTGCTGCTTCTGGTACCACCACAAACAAAGGCGAACTACGTTCAAGGATCAACTCAGGACAACTCCTTCCTTCAAGTTGCACATACACGGTGCAAGAGCAAAGGCCAAAACGTGGCGATCATCCTGCTAGAGATAATATAAGATCCACAGGACCGTAAAAAAAGCCAAGCAAATTCGGCATGCAGCTGGGCATCTCTTGCTCCAGCTCGATCATCTTCGATTCACCTTCCACCAAGTCTTCTGATGCACATACGCGGATCCACCTCTTTTCCTTAACGTCACGACAATGCACAGAATGAAACGAGCAGTGAGTACAGACAAGATCAGCACGAGCTGCCCTGCTTTCAGGTTCTGTATGCCTTTTGCCAGAAAGCATCTGTCTTCACACTCCTTTCAGCTGCATTGTGCGCTTCCTGCCTAGACAGCGGTACATTCACATGTGGCAAACAATGACTTCTGCAATACGGGACCAGAAACTGTCTGAAAGAGACACGCACAGATCCCGGCTTCATGTGGTACTGGAACTTTTTGGGCATGAGCTTCTTGTAGTCCTGAGCTGTGCTAGGCTGGAATCGGTCTGGGGTCGCAGATCTGCTCTGTCCGGCCAGGTTGCAGGATCATGCGTGTAGCTGAGGCAAACATTGTCTGCCTCACCATATGTGAGCCCTTTGCGATTCCTTTCCCGGTACGCCTCACAAGTGCACCCAAGCAAGGCAGCTCCGTGTGACTGCGCGAATCGTGCACTCTGCAGTCCCGAGCAAGCCGGCGCCCTCAGACGTTTCAGCTAGGGATGCACCATGATGCGCCTCTGTTCGCCGAAAGCTCCGACTCTTCGTCCACATGATCAGAGAGGCTCTCTCGCCCTGTTCACACACCGTTGAGCCGTTGAGCCCGCAACAAGACACCTTCCCACAGGAACATGTGACAGAGCGCACTTTGCTTGCTGTTGACCGTCCTTCTCGATGTCCATGGCACCATGACGTCGCTTCCCAGAATGCACAACGCAACGTCCGCGAACGTGCTTGTACCTGCACAGAAGGTTTTGAAAAGCACAAAGATCGAACCAGAGGCGAGTCCTTGCCCTTATGGGCTGCGGCCCGACATGACCTCTTCCACGTCGTTCAAATTTAAATTGCATAAGGCTTGACCGATGGTTAACCTTTGCATGTAGTAACACCTGCATCATGTCGGTAGTTTTCTTCTTAGCATGGATGTAATTATCCAGGCATCGCCGAAGAGTGCAAGTCACGGGAGAGGCAGGACAATCATGACTTCTTGTAACCAGTGTTCAGCAGACCCAGTCCAACCAATCCACTATCTGACTATCACCAGCGAGATGAGAATGCTGTGGGGGCCTAAGACATTCAGGTTCAAGGCCGAATAAGTTCAACCAAGCCGCCTGTGATGCAGCTTGCGATGGCTCGCTGAGTCAAACATTCCGCAGAAAGTCAGATCATTACCCTCGAAGTTTTCATGTGATGTGACGCCGAAGTTGAACGTTACATCGCACTCATCGATGTGCATGTCCAAGTGCCTCAGTTGCCGCGTGATGTGCCAACTTCCGGAAGCTCGGACAACGTCTATCGAGTTATTGACTCCCCAATGGCAGGGTCTGCATGAGGGTAAGCGCAGCGCTTGTCGTCAGTTGGACGGTACTGGACGATGAAACTGTGATGGTCGTCGAGGGTGGAGCCACCCCAATCTTCAGTTTCCACGTCGACACCACCGACACATTGCACGCGATCTTCATCACTGCCGAAAAGCCTGCTCGTCTTAGAGAAACGCTGGGTTGCCAGGAACACAGGAGCAGCTGCTTCAGACGCCTTGCCCCGATGGGAAGGAGGACCTCTTTCAACACAGAAGTGAACGAGGCACGTAGGCCGATCCTTCAGCGGGCTTGCAACACCACAAAGCTACGTAAAGGGCAGTCCGTGCACAATCTGTATCAAGTCTTACTGAACTCAAGCACAAAGGATCTCATTCAGCACCAACCCATAGTTGTTCATGCTGTTCGGTGCACGGGATGGAAGGCCACTTGCGCGGTAGTGTCGCACTTCCTGGGCTGTTCGCATCAAGCATTTGTCGGGCAAAGGCGTGCTTTGTCCTCGCCCGGGCCTCCAGGAGCATGTCGCAAAACTCATCGGAGAGCGCTGGGAAGCTGCAGATTCCCGGTGCTTCGACCCGAAATCCATCGAAACTTTCCAGATCGACACCTTTGCGTGTGCTTATGCATACGTCGGACGGGAACCTAAGCTTTGACACGTACACGATGACACTAAGCTGACAGTTCTGACAGCAAGATTGCAGCGGGGCACAAGCGAAGCTCGTGTCACCCGTTTCCTTCTGTTTCTGCCAGGCGGAGATCACCTTGAGCAGGGATGGATGGATCCATCGTTGCCAGTTGTCCGGCTCGAACAAGTCCTCGCAATTCGACAAGGGTGGTACTTCGCAGTCACAAGTTTGTGATGTGATTTGCCTCAGAGTAGTCTGGAGCCGTTTGACATCTGGCATGCTCTGACCTTCGCATGTTCGACCCGTTTCCTGCCCCAGCGGCATGCCCAGAGAAAGTTCAGCCTTGCTTGAGGTGCACTTGTTTGCAGAGCTTTTCCGCTTGCACTGGTTGCTAAGTTTCATGGCACGACCTCACTGCTCGACAAGACGTCTCGAAATATTCGCGACAGCCATGTGTCCTGAGTCCCGCGCGTCATTCTTAAGCTTGGGAACGAGCCAGAAAGCTATTCGCGAGTTCAGGCTGAGTTTGAAAGCTGTGCTTCGACCGTGAGAGAGCGGTATCAGGCGCATTTTCGGAAATGGGCTTCGAATGAAGGCACCATTTCCAACTGCTCCCGCTCCAACAAGTCCGTTCCGGTCGAAGTGTCGGGACTGAGTTCAAACCGTTTTTGCGATTGAGTTCGAATTGTCGGTGCTTAAACTGCACCTGCAGTCCCAGCATTTGGCAGTCCCCGGGAAAGATGTGCTTTGGCGCTGAATTTCTGCCCAGGCCCTTCCGGGACCCAGTTTCCAGGCAAGATTGAGACTGAAGTTTGGGGATGAGCCTCTCCAAGTTCCAGTCAAGATTGCACATGCCTGATTCAATTCAATTCAGGATCTTTGAACCATCGCTTTCAGCATACACTTCAACCCAACCCTGAACCCAGAACGGCATCTCGAACCGCCGACCGTATCCGAAACACAATGCAAGCATGGTGCACTCAAGTATTGCAATGTTCGGAGGCGGCAGGATTTCATAAGAGTGTGACAGGGACATATTCGTGCACCGGGCAACTGCGATGTCCTTGTGGAGTGACTTTGCAGGGTGGTAGTCCCACGGCTGCAGTTTCCGCTTCGGCGCGGGAGCTTTCGTCGGAGCCTCTGGAGGACCCTAAACCCTAAACCCAGGCAGAGGGTCTCTGGCCGCCTGTACCACCTTGGCTGGTGGCGGTTGAACGGGTGGTTCGTCATCCGACGTTTCCAGCTTGTCCCACTTGGAGTAATCAAGCACCATCTAGCAATGCTGCGGCTACAGGGGATCTTAGACTTGTGCTTCATGGTAAAAGCTGTCTGCCGGAGTGCTAAGCTTGGGTGGTTCGGAGCCTCCAGGGGTTACGCTCAGGCTTAGTTGGGGGACTCGGGTGCATGCAGTTCCCGGTTTTCAGCTGGCAGGAGTACGCCTCAATGTGCAAGCTGACAAGTTTATTCGCAAAGATTGTGTTGCCGTGGCCGAGGGTCATGACTTCAGTGCAATACAAGCGAAAGCTTGATCAAATACAGCGGAAGTTTGATCACCATCGCGCCCCAATCTGTCAAGACTGACTCATCCACAAAAACAGTCGTTCCGGAAGGGGCGGAGCTCGACCATTGCGCTCAACGTGCAGCATGCAGTAGCCTGTCAAAGAGCGAACGTTATTTTCCAGCCCCGATTACAGAAGCCTAGCCTACTGGTTTTGCAGATTCTCTGCATCGACCCGACTTTGGTCAGCTTGAGGGAGCAGTTTCTCGGTCGGTTCGCTGTCATAGTCTCATTAGTCTCCTTTTCTTCGTGACGAGAAACGACAGTTTGACAGCAGTGACCGACGAGTATGGCCCCCCCTAAATTCTCGAACCTGCGGCTAGCCCTACGAACGAAGATTCGCAGACAGAACTGGATGAGGACAATCGGTGAAGCATCTTGCACGGATGATCTACAAAGATTTACAAAATCCGACAATGTCAGTATCACTATGCATCACCGGTCGTCCCTGGAAAAAGCGCATGCGAAACGGCTCTTTGTCATCTCAGCTGCGCTGAAGCATTGAAAATTTCATCAAAGTCTCCGAGAGCCTTGGCAAGTCAGCGACCCAGCAGCCACCACAAGGGGCCTTAAGAAATAGAATATTGGGGGCATATTGTACATTAGAAAAAATAAGGAACCCCCAAAATAGTATTGGTAACTATAAGGTGTGAGGCTGGGCCTGGGCTGCGCAGCCACCAGTTTACAGGGCGCACGAAAACCCTTGCCACGCAGACGATCTGCCAAGCTGCTGTGCGTAGCTGCTTTGATCTACACGATCAGCGAAGCAGTGAAGCAGTATTTCAACAACCGTCACGATACATTTCTGCCTGAGCAGCCCTGTTCTTCTCATTTTGCCAGATTCGGGTGGCAACTCCGCACGCTCATCTGGCCATATGGGACAACTCGCCACGCTCTGCTTGTCTACAGTCTTTTCGATGCAAGCGGTTTAGCAGCACATCTGCTCGCACAAACACTGCAACGACGACATGAACAGCATGTAGACCGCAAAGTTAGGCTCGATTGCAAGCATCCTTGACTCGTCCCAGCGAGTATCCTACATCAACGAATCGCACGTGAGCAAGCGTCAAAACTGAGGCGCTGCAGAAGGAGGCACATGAATTCGAAAGCGAATCTGCCACTTGCTGTGCTTGAAGAAACGGGATCAAAGGGGACGAGCCACTGGCCGTCAGCTTTCAGCTGAGGCAGCTGGGCCCATGTCCAGGGAGCCTGAATCCAAGGTTAGAAGCGCACTTCCACAGTGGCTGTAACCTAGCTAATCTGCAGAAGGCTCTGCCGAAGCCCTTCACGATGTTGTAAGTAGTGCCCAGTGCTCCAGTTGATGCCCTTAAGGCAATAAAAGGAAGCACTCGTCTCGAAACAGTGCTTTAGAATCTCCTGCAGGATAATGCCATAGGTCCAAGAGATTGCCACACGCCGAGGGATGGGCTCCGAGCTTGGATGATCATCGTTCAAGAAACGACTCTTCAAATCGCCCAAGTGGCAGTTGACGGCTTCAAGAACCTCTTGGTGTGCCAGCCAGCGGTTGTAACCAAGGCCCATCAGCAAATCTCTTTCAGTGGACTCGCCGGCCACATACAAGCCCAACCACTCAACCAAAGCAAAGGAGCCCTTAAGTGCACGAGGCAGCTTTGCAAGCTGCTCCTTAGCCACAGCTCTGACCTCCTCGAGCTTGCCGGGGAGGTCTCTGGCAAAGAGCAGGTTCTTGCCGGCAGCTTCGGCGATGCCTCCTGGAGCAAGCACCCCATTGCGGAAGCTGAAGAGGGCCACATCAGCATCTCCCTGCCTCAGTTTACAGGCTTCGCTGTCTTGGGGTGTTGCATGTCTGACATATCTCATCTGCGAACTGCAAAGCGCTCCAAGCCACACAGCCAACTGGCACGACATCCCACCTCCGGACATCATTCCAGCGAAGAGCCCAGCATGCAGGCCAGGTGTGAAAGCCAGGGAATGCTGCAAAGCTTCCCACTCGGCTCTTGCCTGAGCGCCGAGGAACTTGAAAGGAACACCCATTATCCCAAGAAACTCCCGGGAAGAGCCCCGAAGGACCTCGCATGCTCCGGTTCCGCAGCCTTCGCTTCTGACGATTCTTCGATGTCCACGGGTTGCACTAAGTCCCGGAGTTCCCGTTCACACGGGTTACAACCTGGCCCTAGCACTTCTACCATCTTCAGGAAGGGTGCTTCTTCTTGCCCACTCAGCACCATGAACTGTGCGCGGGGTCCCAGGCAATCCAGTACACGATCTCGGAAATGCTGCAGGCTGCTGTTGTTGAGACTGCCATCCTCCAGCGGTGCCACAGTGTCTGAAGCTCATCCGGAAACGTTGCAATCCCTGAATTCCCCGAGCCCGCAAACGAAAAAGCCTGCAAACAAAAAAATCCTACACCCACTTTTCCCGCGACAGCAATCCTGCACAGCCTCCCGCACACCTGCAGTTGCTCCAAGAAGAACGGCACCATCTGGTAGCTCCTCCGCACACTAATTTCAACGTCAGAACAATAGGCTCTCTGCTTTCATGGCTTCGCAGGTTGACTATGTGTGTGAATATGTGAGATGCAAGCTTTCAGTGCTTGACATGTTGCAACGCATTGAAGATGAGCTGGCTTTCGGGGGGCTGGCATGTACACAGGTTATATGAATTGTATGTGTGTGTGTGTGTACATATATGTATCTACACACCCGAACCAAAAAAGGATAGATGGATAGATCCACGTACTTTCCAACAGAATAAAAACGTCCGAAGGCTGATAAAGCCCTCAAAGCTGGGAGCTATCTTGCTCGAGACTACCAAAGTCTACTTGTGCTTGGACATGCGCGCTGGACAGCGGATGCTGGATTTGATTCTGCTGAAAACGGCACGCCTCGGCACAATCTATTTCCCCGTACAACAGCGGATGTTGCTTCCCTAAATCTCCTGTTCAAGCAAGCGCAGCAGATTCTCCAGGCGAAGCTCGTCCTGCAATGCCGATGCAAGTGCCTCACCTGCGCCAAAACAAGGCAACCAGCATGAGATCTCAACGAAAATCTGACCGAGCCACGGGCGGGCGCGCTCAACTGAATAACACTGCAAATGGTGTGAATGAAACTTCACAATGCTGTTATGATGCTGCAGGACGACGATCACCACAACGTGACGACCACGACAAGCGGCCACGACCACGATACAACCTACCATCATTACAGTAACACTAGCAGCAGCAGCATCAACAAGAGAACAACCGTGAAAACCGAAAGCACATGAACGAAACTCACATGCGAAGCAACCAGAACAATGACGATGAGAGCGCCCCTGCAGGAAGAATAATAGCAACAGCAACAGCAGCAGCAACAGGACCGGCAGCAGCAGCAACAGCAAGAGGAACAGGAACAGCAACAGGACCAACAGCAGCAGTAGCAGCAGCAGCAGCAGCAGCAGCCGCGGCGGCGGCGGCGGCGGCGGCGGCGGCGGCGGCGGCAGCAACA